AAAAAAAACATAAATATCCATAATAAAGGAAAAAATGATCCTTTTGTTAACAAATGATAGCCTAAGGTTGAATTTTCTAGGTAGCACTCCCACCCCCATTGCAATTAATACATCTCTGACTGCTTCCTCTCACTCACCTTTCACACCCATGGGAGTCGGGCAGTCATCAGCCACAGGAGGAAGGACTCTGGTGTAATAGGAGAGATTAGAGAAGGCTTCCCAGCTTTTGTAGCCATAGTGCACATTGTAAGTTGGTGGACTCTCAATCAAATGTGATCTGGCTTAAATTTTCAAGAAAAAAAAATGTTTTATTTATTCCCATATGCAAAGCAACTCATTGTTAGTTTTTATTGTAAAAAGTGGAAAGTGGCACTCGAGATTGAATTTAATTCCAACCTTCTCCATTATAAAACAGCTACACTTTACAGTCTAACTGCTTCTTCAAATAAACTTTTAATAATATATATGTATATATCATATATAAAGTTATTTTCTTGCTGACCCAAATCCACATTAACCATTTATTTTAATGGGTGCTACATGTTCAGAACAATTCTGTGGCCCATGGGCATACAATAAACACTTGGACCACACTTCCTCCATAAGTTGGCTGGAACAGTGAGTTACAAGAAATGCACAGGGTTATGAGTAGAATTATGACCGTGAGACAGAACTGTAAAAACTGGATGGGACTAAACGTCAATATGTTTGGCTCTTAAGATGGATGGTAAACCAAAAGGGTATATTTAAAGTCGTTTTGACAAATTTGGAAATATATTTTTGGAATAGGCTTAGTAAACTAGAGTATTATTAAGCACATTTTTCTTTGAGGAAGCTAAAAATCTTAGAAAGAGACTTGTACTTACATGTCAACACATATTTCATAATTGCATTTCGCAGGAAGGGAATATTATTGACAATGTTCCAGACTCCCTTGAAGTGGGTAAGTATGTAGTGCACTGTGTTTGGAGTGGGTTTCAGGAATAATTTTATTCTTGTTAGAAATTCAGCTGCAAGAAGAGGGAAGAAAGGAGGAAGAAATTAATGGGGCCCATTATAAGACATAAATCTGTAAAATTACAGCTGTAGGTAGCCTCATTCCAAATGAGGAAACCCAAAGGCAAACTTACGTGTGGAACAGTTTTCACCATAGAACCCAGTCCGGGTACAGTCGCACTTATACTGGTCAAATCCTGTGGTCATACATATACCTCGGTTTTGACATGGGTTGGAACAGCAAGGATTTGCTACAATAGAAGTAAGGACAGTAAATAAATCATTCTTCAGTGTCTTAATCTTGAATGAAACATTTAATTGTTCTACTAACTATGGGTCACCTTACAATAACAAATTCAAGAAATATCCCGGCAGTCATGGAAAAACGATTTTTAAAATCTGCCTCAAAGAATGGTTATAATGCAGAAATACAAATTTCCTGTTCTAAATAAGGGTAACAGAATGTTCAGTCGGGTAAATCAGGCTACTAAGCTTTTCCTTATTAACTTTTTAGATGTTCAAATTAGCATGTTTAAGAAGCTCAGAAAAGTAGCACTTTTAAAACGGGTGGACCTAGTACATTAATCAACACTTAGAAAAAAATTCAAAGTAAAAACAGCTTACTTCTAAAAATATTTTG